TGGAATTATCTTTAACCTACTCGAGTTAATACATGAAAAACCCAGATAATTAAAAAGCCCTTCTTTCCTCCATTTTGCTCAATTACTTATATATATATGTTATAATAAATTGAGACTACTTGCATTCTTTATTTGTAGATGAAATGTTTCAATATTTGTATAATCTATTGTTATCCGCGCCGCGGTTATCCTGCCACGGATGCGTTCTCTCGTGCGTCCTTATTTACTTGCTGGCATAGCGAGATTCGTTCGTTATTATTCAGCAACACCTATTCTGAATAATGTAACAAAGTAGGTGTGCCTTTTCTCAGTTTTTAGTAAACTTGAAATAACTTTTAAATGGCAAGATGGTACGACAGTGACAGTTCCTGGAGGTGTTGGCCATTCGTTGCTAGATGTGGCCTTGGATAATGATGTTGATATCGATGGATTTGGTACTTCACTCATTCTTAATACTTGTAGGAGCCTGTGAGGGAACCCTTGCTTGCTCCACCTGTCATTTAATTTTGTCAAAAGAGGACTTTGATAAGTGCCTAAAGCAGAATCCAATGTCTCTGGATGAAATTGATCTACTTGACATTGCGTATGATCTTAAAAATACGTGAGTACTTACAAAGAATACATGTGTACCTTTTTTCTTCTGTGCACACGTACACTATTTTCCTTTCAAATTTACAATTCGGCTAGCTATATCTGTTTTGCCCCGAGAATTATTTTCAATTTAATGACTCATCAACACCCAAAAATTATGTGACTAATCTACCGCATTCATAAAGAGCAGCAGAGATTTTGCCTTGATGGCCCGTATGAAGAACTAATGTTTGCCTTAAATCTGATGTCTTGCTTATCGTGCCACATGATTCTTACAAAATGTTAGTCTTATTTTTTGCTGATACGTATTTGGTCTTGAATTCGTGTGTCCAATTTGTAAGCACATATGACATACGTTCAATTAGAGTTAAAAGTTGCACTCTTGGAATGCCTTTGCTCGTGTGCTTGTTTGCTGAAATTTTTCTTTGACTTTTGTATGTTGAACCTGGCGAATAAACCCTCGGCTCACCATCCTACGACCTTGATGACTCCATGTTGAGCCTTCGTTCGTCATGTGACGGTCATCGTCAGAGCCCTAAACCGAGAAAGGTGGCCAGGTGAGATTCTACCTACTTC